CTTCAAAACCCAAGAAAGTATGATGCTAAAACCATTATTTCCAAACAAATCCCACCATTTCCAAATCATCTTCAAATTGCCTTCAACTTCTTTCTTGTCCATACTAGGCCAATTACTTCTCATCAAATCTTCCAATATAATAATCCAAATATTCCGAAAATGCCCTTGGACAAAATCCCATCCTCTATCAAATAAATAGCTCATAAGCGCAATAATACCACAATCCTCAAGATTAAAAAGATCTAGATCACCAACTTTCTTCTTAGGAATCAATCCAAAACAATGAAACCCGTCAATTCCTTTTTTAATGAGAGTATTCCAAAAATACCCCTGAAGGTTAATCCTTAAAAAATTAAGAATAAAACCTCCAAATTCCACATCAAAGACTAAAAAGCCAATGATAACCGGGATGGACCGATTTGCATTAAAATTTTGGTAAAACCAAAGGGATTTTAAGGTCCCAAAGTGGTTGTTTTTATGAGAACAAGGGAAACAACCAACCCAATTGTGGTACAGTCTAAGGTTAACGTACCCAATCCAGTGTATTGACGGGTAAATATCCCACCACTTGCTAATTGAACTAGCAGTGGCACCCACTAAAGTGGAGATTCCTAGTTGCCTAGGAAGAAATTTCCAACTAACGGGGATCAAACCCATTTGCTTTAAAGAATTGACCACTTCAAAGGAAAAAGTTCCAATGAATTCTGGGATAAACCAGACAGCAATGAGCAAAAAAGGATCCATAAGGCTCCAAATGTGGTTGTTTTTATGGTTACAAAGGAAACAACCAACCTGTGAGTGGTACAGTCTAAGGTTAACGTACCCAATCCCGTGTATTGCCGGGTGAATATCCCACCACTTGCTAATCGAACTAGCAGTGGCACCCATATAAGTGGAGAATCCTAGTTGCCTAGGATAAAAACACCAACTAATGGGGATCAAACCCAAATGCAATAAGAAATAATCCACTTCAAAGGAAAAAAATCCAATGAAATCCGGGATACACCGGATAGCAGTAGCCTTACACTTATACCAAGAAATCATAAAGTGGTTGTTTTTATGGTTACAAGGGAAACAACCAACCCATTTGTGGTACAGTTTAAGGAAAACGTACCCAATCCCTGGTATTAACGGGTAATTATCCCACCACTTGCTAATCGAACTAGCAGTGGCACCCACCAAAGTGGAGACTCCAAGTTGCCAAGGATAAAAACAACCAATAATGGGGATAAAACCCATTTGCATGAAAAAGTCCACTTCAAGAGGAAAGTTCCTCAGAAATATCGGGATCAAACCGATAAGCAAAGCAATTTTTATAGGAAAATTGCCAAACCCAAGACCGTCAATTCCTTTAATCATTATTGTCCTCCTTTCCCACAGGAACACCCCACTTCCTTTTAACATCATTATCAAACCCCAAAAATTCTCCTTTGAGTCCAATTAGTTTGAGGCGAATTTCTTCAAAAATATTCAAAGCAATTTTCATCTCTTCTGTTCTTCCTTTTCTAAAGAGTCTGCAATTTCTTTCTCTCCAAATGTAATAAACAGAAGCAGCAAAAGCAATCTTCATTATAAAAATTTGAATGCTTTTCCCTTTAAACAAAACTTGAAATTCTTCAATTAACTCCTTCCATCCATGAGAATTGCTTCTTATCCCCACTTTATCCTTCACAATTTTCCAGACAAAAGAAGAAAAATTGCAATCAAAGAATAAATGGTTATGCGAATCAAGCTGCACATTGCATAAGGAACACTTGAGATTCTTATTTTTATCCCAAAATCTCATTCTATCTTGAGTCATCAGTCTCTCCTGAATAGCCAACCAAAGAATAAAGCTAAGTCTAGGAATGCATTGCTTGAACCAAACAATATGAGCCCACGGAACCTTTTGACCACAATTGCTTAAATCTTTCCAGACTTGATGAATTTCAAACTCCACTTCTTGACCATTCCTTTTCCTCCAAAGGACTCTATCATTAACCAACGGGTCAAGTTTCGGCAGTTGAAAATCATTCAACTGAGGAATCAACGAAAGCCATTCGGAAGGCCAAAACCAGGAATTATCAATAATAACATCTTTCACTTTGTCTGTTATTCTAAATCCAGCATTAGCAATCTCTCTTGGAGAGAGGACATAAGAAAGGGCTCCAAGAGAGTGCCAATCATCATACCACATGAAAGTATTCACTCCATTCCCAACCTTCGAGCAAAAATGATTTCTAAAATAAGGCCTCAATTTGATCAAGTTTCTCCAACTCCAGCTCAGGTCTTGTTTTTCATGAACGTCCCAAAAACATCTCCCTTTAAGAACGTAATTTTTGATCCATTTCACCCAAATAGAATCAAAATTAGATAAGATCATCCAGATTCTCTTGGAAAGAATCGCTTTGTTCCAAGCTCTTAAATTTCTCATACCCAAACCACCATACTCCAACGGTTTACAAATTGAGGACCAAGCAACTTTAGCCCTTCCCTTCTTCGACTCATCACAGTCCCATAGAAAATTCTTCATCAATTTCTCTATTTCCTTAGTTGTGGCAGCTGGGATAAGGAGATTAGAAGCCCAGTACACAGGCAGGGAATAGAGAACAGAAGAAATGAGCTGCAATCTTCCAGCATAAGATAGGAATTTGTTCCTCCAATCTCCTAATCTGCATCGAACTTTGTCAACAAGTCTTTTGCAATCACGAATGAAAAGCCTCGTAGAAATTAGAGGAATTCCCAAGTATCTCATAGGCAATTTCCCTTCAAAAAAAGGGAGAGTATCCAGAATTCTACCCTTCACATTAGCTTTGACATTGCCGAAAAAAATGTGACTTTTAGAAAAGTTAGGATGAAGACCAGCCACACAAGCGAATTTTTCAAGACTTTCTTTAATAACCCTGACCGATGCAGAGTTTCCATGACAGAAAATCATCAAATCGTCCGCGAAACAAAGATGAGTAAGCTTAAGTTTCTTGCATCTCCAGTGATACTTAAAGAACGGCTCGTTTTTTATTCTCCTTTGAATTATCAGGTTAAAAATCTCCATAACCAAAGTAAAAAGATAAGGAGAGAGAGGGCAGCCCTGTCTAAGACCCCTTTTCCCAGCAAAAAAACCATGATAAGACCCATTCATACTGATCATATATGAGGGAGTACTCACGCATTGCATGATCCAATTAATCATGGCAGGATGAAATCCAAAAAGAAAAAGAATATCTTGAAGGAATGACCAGCTAACTGTATCATAAGCTTTTTGTATATCCACCTTAAGAGCGCATCTAGAAAAGCCACGATCTCTATGGTATCCCCTGACAAGCTCTTGCGAAATAAGAATATTATCCGTGATTGATCTTCCAGGGATAAAAGCAGACTGATTTTCATCAACCAAAGAACCCAAGTGATTTCTTATTCTAACAACTATCACTTTGCTGATACATTTATAAACAACCGAACAGCAAGAAATGGGTCTAAAGTCGCTCACTTTTCCAGGAAATTCAACTTTAGGAACTAAAGCAATAGCAGTAGCATTGACTTCTTTTAAAATTTTCCCATTCGCGAAAAATTCTTTGACAGCAGCACAGAAATCTTCTCCAATGACCGGCCACAAAGACTTAAAAAATTTGGCCGAATACCCATCAGGTCCAGGAGATTTGTCATCATCGATATCAAACAGGGCCTCTTTAATTTCATTATTGGTCACAATTTTGATCATCTCAGCAGCATCAATAAGATCTAATTTTTTGGAAAACAAAGTATTAGGCTGAACAATCTCACCGCAAGGAACTTCATTACCTAAAAAATTCTTGAAATATTCCACAAATTCTTTGTAGATCTCTTCTCCTTCCAGCCATTCACCATCTTTGTTCATGATAGCTTCAATACGACTTTTATGAACTCTTCCTTTAACCATTTTGTGAAAAAACTTTGAATTATTGTCTCCATCTTTAAGCCACTGAATTTTAGCTTTTTGTTTCAAGAAACATTCCTCCTTTTCATAAGCTTTTTTGAGCTCCCCAAGAAAAATAGCTTCCAAATTGCGAAGATCAGAATTAAAAGGGTCCTCATCCAAATCAGCTTGAACCATTTCCAATTCTTTACGAAAATGAGACACATTATCCGAAAAATGCCCCTGTTTCTTTAGCAATTTTCGAATCGGCTTCTTGAGATTTTTGAGTTTTTGAATTAAAGCATACATCTTAGTTCCTTGAATATCAATGTTCCAGTGATTTTCAACCAGCAACTTCAAATCAGCATTTAGAGTAAGAACATTAGGAAACTTGAAAGGAAGAACCTTGAACTTGGCTTTCAACGGAATTTTAATAACAATGGGACTATGATCAGACAGCCCATAAGGAAGAAACGAGGCAAAAATAGATGGGAAGAGATCCATCAAGCTGGAATTACCCATGATACGATCCAATTTCTTCAAAATACCATTATTACCTTGAGGTTTTTGATTCCAAGTGAAATTCAAACCATTGCAGTTAATATCTTGAATTTCAAGAATATTAATGCACTCAAGAAACTCCACCATCCCTTTAGTAAACTTTGACGTTCCAGCAGAACTTTCATTTGGATTAATCGTGACATTAAAATCCCCACCAATGATCCACGGATCCTCACGAACTAACCCTTTGTGATGCACAAGAGAAGCCCATAATCCTCTTCTATCTATGTATTTGTTGGCAGCATAAACAATGGAACAAAACACATATTTATTATTTGAGGGAAAACTAACTTTACAATGTATAACTTGATCATTGTGATCAATCAAGTTAACATCAAAAAAATTAGAATTCCACCCCAAAATAATGCGATAAGTATGACCAACCTCTCCTTTATTAGCAATCCACTTCCAATTCCCAAAAATCTTTTCACACTTCTCATTGATTTTATTAAAGCTAACTTGAGATTCAAGAATAGCTAATAAACTCAAATTATTTTCCTTAATTAAATTTTTTATTTCTTTTTGTTTAGGGGACTGATTTAGACCCCTAACATTCCAAATTCCAAAACTAATCGTCATTGGAAAAGCCTTCCATGTTGGTATCATCCGATGGGATACCTCCAATAACTTCCATTTGGTCAACATAATCCAAGTAATCAAGGTCAATTCCTTGAATACTTCTTCTAGAAAATTCCACTTGATTATCATCTTCCAAATCCTTTAACACATCAAATTTATTGCTGGATAAAATAATCGCAGGATCTTTAAATTTCTCATCATTTTGTATTTTATCAAAATTGGAACTTATCTTACTATCTTCTCCAGATTTTGGGACATACTTCAACCCGCTACCTGAATCTTTTCTCTTTTCAACATTCAAATTCTGTCCCTTATTATAGGAAAACACATGAGCAATCCCCTGAGAATTAATTCCACCTGTACTACTCCCAGCATAATTAAACCTGTTCGAAAAATTGTTGCTTTTACTATTCTGCCCCTGTTCAAATTTAAATCCATTATTTCTTCCATTCACAGCTTGATTTTTCCCATTTTGCCCCTGAATTCCTTTACCCTTATTCCATTGATTGCCACCAAAATTATTTCCATTTTTTACAAAGCTGTTCCCTTTTTGCCCCTGGTTTCCGACCAAATTCCCACTTTTTTCCGAACTATTCCCTTTTTGTCCCTGGTTTGCAACAGAATTTCCAGCCGTGCTTTTTCCAATTCCTTGGTTCTTCCCATTTTGCCTTTGAGAAAAATTCTGATTTTTGATTCCAAGATCTTCCTTTTTCTTTTCACCCAAATTTATTCCTTTATTTCTTTTCACCACCGTTTGAAACCCATCATTATCTTCTTCAACATTTTTTGTGCTTGCGATAAGAACCTCCATCAGATCAACTTTTTTGCCATCATTTTTCTGATCATCTAGATTAGATTTTCCTATATCCTTGACCTCCTTAGCAAGTAAAATTCTGCAAGTACTATCTTTATGCCCATAAACCTTGCAATGAGAACATTTGGAAGGGTTCCAAGCATAATCAATTTTGCATTTTGACAGAATTCTTTCTCCTGTAGTGAGATCCGAAGAATATACATGAACTTCCTTAAGCCATTCCTTAGCAGCAGACATTTCAATCAGAATTCTCATAAAGGCCGGTCTTCCCCAATGCTCTTGACACATTTTTGCTGTATGGGCATCGACATCCAATGGTTTTCCTATTTCCCAAGTAATATGACTCAGTCCTGTTCCATTCCAATATTCAAGAGGAACATTATATATTTTGACCCAAACTGGAACTTTGTCATGTTGATCTTTGGCCGAGCTCACACCAGTGGTCCATCTTCTAACAACAAGGGCGCTGTCAAAAATCATCCAAACTCCTCCCTCTAACACAGAAATCATGCCTTGTTCAGTGCTAAATCTGAAAAAATAAATTCCTTCATCATTTACCATTACTTCCTCTAATCCATGTTTTCTCCATGTGTTGTGCGCAAACTTGTTGACATTAAAGAAATTAACATGTTTATCAATGAAATATCCATAAAGGGTGGTCTTAAAGGGGCTGCAACCTTTAAGGATATCACATATTGGCATTTCCACCACTCCATCAGGTAAGTCCGCATTCTTCTTAACCTTAGAAATAAGGTTTGCTGCATTAAGCTTCTTCCCGCTAACTTTCTCAGCGTATGACACAGGTTCATTTATTTTTGATTCATCCAAAGACATTGTGGGAGCATTCATATTCACCTTGTTCTTTATCTCCCCATTCTTCATTTGTTCCAGCATGTTTTCAGTGATGAGAAGCCCTCCATTACTATTTCGGATACTTCCTTTCTTATCCTCATCTTCATCAACCATCATTTGGACATTAATGCCCTTATCATCCAGATCAGCATAATTAAAATTAAACACTCCCTTTTTTCCAATTTCAATATGATTGAACTTGCTAGGGAAATGAAATTTAATCTCATTGCACACTTGTTCCAGCTGTTTACTCACCATTTCATCAATCTCAATTTTCCTTTTCTCTTTCTTTTCCTTAACCACCGATTGAAGAGAGCAAATTTCTTGAAGATCAACACTCACTGGCTCATTTAAATTCAATTTAGGATCCCCTTCAGGAAAAAGCTTAATCACAGTTTCACCAACTTTTTGAAGACCATCAGAAGCTTCAAACTCAGAGGAAATCTTCATACTAACCGAGGAAGGAAAAAGAGAACAGGAGGACTTGATTGGAATTCTGTTCTTCCCGAAATTAGCTTCAGCCATTTTTTAAACTTTGCTAGTGCAAAGTTTGTGAATTATTTTTCATTTTTCCTTATCGGACAGATCTTTCCAGTTCATCAAAATTTCATTCCTTTGACTAACCAATGAGATCTTCTTTACATCATCAATAGCATCCATCTTGTCTTCATCAGCTTCAATTCCATTGTTGTATTTCTTCTTCGTAAATCTCAAACCATGTACAAATCTTTCTTTTTCTTTTACAGATAAACCATTCCAGAAAGCGATCATATAATTTTTCTCTCCAGGACTACAAAGTTGAGCAATATCCTTTTCAAATTCAACAACTGACTGACTTAGAACTTCAATTGAATCCGTCACAACTTTTGTGGGATTAACCGAGCCATGAAAAATAACAGAAGGAGAAGAGCACTCGGTATTAAACAAACAGGGACTAACATGATTTTTCAAATTAGCAACATCAGGGGGAAATTGAGGATTCAAATTCGAACAATTAGGAAGAATAGCTTCATTTTTCACTACAGGAGGAGAATCAAAGGCCATACTAACCAATTTGGAATTTTCGGCATTACCAGCTTCAGACGGGATAATAGAACTGATCGGAAGAGCTTCAGATTCAAATTTGTTGACAAGGGAAGAGACCGATTTAGCTTGGGAAGAATCAATCAATTGATTAGACTCAGAATCCTGAACGAATTTGAGCTTGTTTTTCAACTTCGCATTTTTTCCTTTTTTTTTCATTATTACGTCGGGTTCCAAATCAGGTGGAACACCCTCCATAGATCGATCAAACAGTATCCTTAGAACAAGCAAGAGAAGAGGAACAGATTGAGATCAAATTTGTTGCAAACGGTTGCCGGAAAAACGATCGGTGCCGGAAAAACAGTTGGAAAACGAGGGAATCGCCAGAGAAGAGAGAGAAACAAAGAGAGAGAGGGTTTGGGTTTAGGGTTTAGGGATTAGGGTTTAGGGTTTAGGGTTTAGGGTTTAGGGTTTAGGGTTTAGGTTTTAGGGTTTAGGGTTTCGGGTTTAGGGTTTAGGGTTTAGGGTTTAGGGTTTTTTTGGATAAAAGGGGAAGACCCCTTGGCAAATTTATTGAAAAGAAAAAAACAATACAAGGGAAGAGGGCAACCGCCCAAAAAACCTAACTACAAACCTAACAAGAAACTACCAAAAACCTAAACTAAAAAACAAAAGCATCTAACCCTAACTAAACAAACCAACCGATCCATTTCCATGTCCAACTCCAACACAAGGAGTGAAACCAAACATAACTTTCTAGGAGATACATAATACAATCAAAACCAAAAATCTTCCAACTCATGAAATCTTCAAAATCTTCAATCTTCATAAAGCTTCCAATCTTCCACCAAGTCAAAACCCAAATTATGGCCTCATACACAAACAAATAGTCCAAGGTTTGAATAATGTTTGTCTTCCAATGCTTCCACGGAACTTCCAAATCAAGAGAATCATTGGCCAATTCATTCAAATCATCAATAGTTTGCAAATATCTCCACACCAAACTAAAACCAATAATAGCAATTAACTTTGAACTTTGAACTATACTCTTCATGCAATTCTTCCCAATCTTCTCCACAATGTAATTGTTAAACTTCTTTCCAATCTTCACTTTAAAATCCAATAAGCTCCAATATAAAATCTTCAAAACCCAAGAAAGTATGATGCTAAAACCGTTATTTCCCAACAAATCCCACCATTTCCAAATCTTCTTCAAATTGTCTTCAACTTCTTTCTTGCCCAAACTAAGCCAATTACTCTTCAACAAATCTTCCAATATAATAATCCAAGTATTCCGAAAATGCCCTTGGATAAAATCCCAACCTCTAGCAATTAAAAGGCTCATAATCGCAAAAATACCACAATCATCAAGATTAAAAGAATCTAGATCGCCAACTTTCTTCTTAGGAATCAATCCAAAAAAATGAAACCCGTCAATTCCTTTTTTAATGGGAGTATTCCAAAAATACCCCTGGAGGCTAATCCTTAAAAAATTAAGAATAAAACCTCCAAATTCCACATCAAAGGTAAAAAAACCAATGATAACCGGGATAGACCGATTAGCTTTAAAATTTTGGTAAAACCAAAGGGATTGTAAGGTCCCAAAGTGGTTGTTTTTATGAGAACAAAGGAAACAACCAACCCAATTGTGGTACAGTCTAAGGTTAACGTACCCAATCCAGTGTATTAACGGGTAAATATCCCACCACTTGCTAATCGAACTAGCAGTGGCACCCACTAAAGTGGAGATTCCTAGTTGCCTAGGAAGAAATTTCCAACTAACGGGGATCAAACCCATTTGCTTTAAAGAATTGACCACTTCAAAGGAAAGAATTCCAATGAAATATGGGATAAACCAGACAGCAATAAGCAAAAAAGGATCCATAAGGCTCCAAATGTGGTTGTTTTTATGATTACAAAGGAAACAACCAACCTGTAAGTGGTACAGTCTAAGGTTAACGTACCCAATCCCGTGTATTGCCGGGTGAATATCCCACCACTTGCTAATCGAACTAGCCATGGCACCCACATAAGTGGAGAATCCTAGTTGCCTAGGATAAAAACACCAACTAATGGGGATCAAACCCAAATGCAATAAGAAATAATCCACTTCAAAGGAAAAATTTCCAATGAAATCCGGGATAAACCAGATAGCAGTAACCATACACTTATGCCGTAAGACCTTAAAGTGGTTGTTTTTATACTTACAAGGGAAACAACCAACCCATTTGTGGTACAGTTTAAGGAAAACGTACCCAATCCCTGGTATTGACGGGTAATTATCCCACCACTTGCTAATCGAACTAGCAGTGGCACCCACCAAAGTGGAGACTCCAAGTTGCCGAGGAGGAAAACAACTTAAAATGGGGATGAAACCCATTTGCATAATGAAAACCACTTCTAAAGGAATAATCCTCAAGAAAATCGGGATAAAACCGATAAGCATAACAATTTTTAAAGGAAAATTGTTAAACCTAAAACCGTCAATTCCTTTAATCATCAAAATGATCTTGATTTTTCTCTCCCACAGGAACACCCCACTTCTTTTTGACAATATTATCAAACCCCAAGAAGTCACCTTTGAGGCCAATAAGCTTCAAACGAATTTCTTCAAAAATTTCCAGCATAACTTTCTTCTCTTCCGATTTGCCTTTCCTAAAGAGCCTTCGATTTCTTTCTCTCCAGATATAATACACTGACGCAGCAAAAGCAATTTTCCTGATGAAAACAAGAATGCTATTTCCTTTAAACTTTTCTTGAAGTTCTTCAATTAACTCTTTCCAGCCATGCGAATCACTTGTAATTCCAGCTTTGTCTTTCACAGCTTTCCAGATACACTTAGAGAACGCACATTCAAAAAACAAGTGAGAATGCGAATCAGGTTGCTTATTACACAAAACACAATGAAGACTTTTATTTTTGTCCCAGAATCTCATTCTGTCTTGTGTCATGAGCCTTTCCTGAACAGCAAGCCAAAGAATAAAGCTATGTCTTGGAATTCTATGTTTAAACCAAACCAAATGAACCCATGAAACTTCATCTCCAACATTCGAAAGATCATCACAGACTTTTTTTATGCTGAAATCAATTATTCTTCCAGAATTAATCCTCCACATAACTTTATCAGGACGAGAAGGAATAAGCGAAGGAAGCTGGAAATTCGTTAATTGAGGGATAAGATCACACCAATTATTCGGCCAAAACCAAGAATCATCAACAATAACATCTCTAACCTTATCTGAAATATTAAACCCTGCTTGCGAAATTTCCCTATGAGATATCACATAAGATAAAGGTCCCAATGGATGCCAATCATCAAACCATATAAACGTGGAAGCACCATCTCCTATCTTGTTACAAAAATGATTTCTAACCTCATCTTTTAGCTTAATAAGATTCCGCCAACTCCAACTCAGCCCATTCTTTTTCTCTATATCCCAAAAGCTTCTCCCTTTTAATAGATTAATCTTGACCCACTTAACCCATAAAGAATCAAAGTCATCAAGAATCATCCAAATTCGTTTTGAAAGAATAGCTTTATTCCACGTTCTCAAGCTTCTAAGACCCAGACCTCCATTCACCACCGGCTTACAAATAGCAGACCAGGCCACTTTAGCCCTTCCTCTTTTCGATTCATCATGATTCCATAAAAAATTCTTCATCATTTTTTCAATATCTTTTATGATGCTAATAGGAATCAGCATGCTGGAAGCCCAAAACACAGGTAGAGAAAAAAGAACCGAAGAAATAAGTTGTAATCTTCCAGCATAAGATAAGAACTTATTTCTCCAATCACCAATTCTTTTCCTAACCTTGTCAACCAACCTGTTACAGTCCCTTATAAACAGTCTGGTGGATATCAACGGAAGACCCAAATAGCGCACAGGTAATTTCCCTTCCACAAACGTCAAGGAATCAAGAATTTTCTTTTTAGCATTAGGCTTGACATTCCCGAAAAAATATGACTTTTTGCTAGATTGGGAATAAGCCCAGCTACTCCAGCAAATTCATCAAGCGCCTCTTTAATCACCCTAACCGAAGCAAAGTTTCCATGACAGAATATCATCAGGTCGTCCGCAAAACAAAGATGAGTGAGCTTTTGCTTCTTACAACTCCAGTGATACTTGAACAAATTCTCATTAAGGATCTTCCTTTGGAGAATAAGGTTGAAGGTTTCCATAACAAGAGTGAACAGGTACGGAGACAGCGGACACCCTTGCCTTAGACCACGTTTACCTTCAAAATACCCATGGAAAGTGCCATTTATACTTATCATGAATGAAGGAGAAGTCACACAACTCATTATCCACTTGATCATGACAGGATGAAATCCAAAAAAGAAAAGGATATCTTGAAGAAAAGCCCAATTTACCGTATCATAAGCTTTTTGAATATCCACTTTCATGGCACAACGAGAAAATCCACGATTACGGTGATACCCACGAACTAACTCTTGAGATAACAAAATGTTATCAGTGATTGATCTGCCCGGAATGAAAGCCGATTGGTTATTGGAAACAATGAAACTCAAGTAATTTCTAATACGTCCAACAATTATCTTGCTAATGCATTTGTATATGACCGAACAGCAAGATATCGGCCTATAATCACTGACTTTCCTAGGTGTGTCAGTCTTTGGAACTAAAGCTATCACTGTAGCATTAACTTCTTTAAGTAATTTCCCAGTGCAAAAAAATTCCTTAACAGCTTGGCAGAAATCCTTTCCAATTATATCCCACATAGCTTTAAAAAACTTGGCAGAAAAACCATCAGGCCCCGGCGCCTTGTCATCATCAATATCAAATAAAGCACTCTTTATTTCCTCATCAGTAACCACTTTGACCATTTCATTAGCATGCACCAGATCAAGCTTCTTTAAAAACAACGATTGGGGATTGTCGATTTCAGCACAATTAATTTCAGTCCCCAAAAACTCATTGAAATATTTGATGAATACATTAGGAACAGCATCACCTTCAATCCAATTCCCTTCTTCATTCAAAACAGCTTTAATGCTATTCTTATTAATTTTACCTTTAACGATTTTATGAAAGAATTTTGAATTGCTATCTCCCTCCTTTAACCAACCAACTTTCGCTTTTTGCTTTAAAAAACTTTCTTCATCAGCATAAGCCTTATTAAATTCCCCCAAAAAATAGCCTCTAACTCCCTAAGCTCGGGATTAAAAGGATCTTTATCAAGCTCAAATTGCACAGCATTGAGCTCTTTTCGGCAATGCTCAACTTTTTCAAATAGGTGGCCCTGTTTTCTGAATAATTTCCGAATTGGTTTTTTAAGAACTTTAAGCTTTTGGACCAAACTAAACATCTTAACTCCTTTGACTTGATGCTTCCAATGATCTTCAACTATAAGCTTTAAATCCATACAATTAGCAAGAACATTAGGAAATTTAAACGGCAAAACTTTGAATTCCATCTTCACCGGAATTTTGATGATGACAGGGCTGTGATCCGAAATTCCATAAGGCAAAAAAGTGGCGTAGATCGAAGGAAATTCCTCAATCAGCTTGCTGTTGCCCATCACGCGATCTAACTTTTTCAAAATGCCATTACTACCCCTAGGTTTTTGATTCCAAGTGAAATTCAAACCATTTCGATTAATATCTTGAAGGCCAATACTATTGATACAATCAAGAAAATCAACCATTCCTTTTGATAATCTAGAAGAGCTAGCCGAACTTTCATTAAGATTGAGAATAACATTAAAATCTCCACCAAGAATCCAAGGTTCATTTCTAATAAAACTCTTGTGATGCAACAAAGAATCCCAAAGAGCTCTTCTTTCAATGTAGTTGTTGGCCGCATAAACAAAGGAACAAAACACATATTTATTATTAGGATGAAAATTAATCTTACAATGTAAAACTTGATCATTTTGATCAATCAAGTTCACATCAAAAAGATTAGAATTCCATCCTATAATAATTCGAGTAGTACTTCCAGAATTACTCTTATTAGCAATCCACTTCCAAGATCCAAATTTTTTTTCACACTTCTCCATAAGCTTACTAAATCTGACTTGAGGTTCAAGGACAGCAAGTAAACTCAGCTTATTCATATTAATTAAATTCCTTAACTCTTTTTGCTTAGAGGATTGATTAAATCCCCTAATATTCCAAATTCCAATATTAAACGTCATTGGAACCAGCTTCCATTTTGGTATCATTCAAAGGGATACCACCAAGAACTTCCATTTGATCAACCGTATCCAAGAATTCTAGATCAATATCATCAACCTCTCGTTTTGAGTTCCCAAATTGACCCTCCTCTTTTAAATTCATTAAAATATCAAACTTGTTTTTTGAAACAAACTCCATGGAACCAGAATCAATAACATTCTGATTATTCAAATAAAAATTGGAGCTAATTTTTATATCAGGACCTGATCTTGGAACATACTTTCGCACGGTTTCTTCTTTTTACCCCAGCTCCACAATATGATTAAGCTTTTGTTGACTTTTCCCCTCTGAAGCAAAACCTTCAACATTTTCTTTTTTCACAAACTGATTGTTTTTGCTACTTTGCCTCTGCTCAAGTTTTCCTCCAAAAAAATTCCCATTCTTGCTATAATTTTTCCCATTATGCCCCTGAATTGCTTTTCCTTTATTCCATTGATTACCCCCATTATTATTCCCCATTTTCAATCCGCTATTCCCTTTCTGCCCCTGACTTCCAGCATTAGTTCCAGCCCCTTCTTTCCCATTTCCTTGATAATTCCCATTTTGCCCCTGAACCGAAGAAAAGTTTTTCTTTCCCATTTCTTCCTTGCCGAGACCTCCCATATTGTTCCCCTTATTCCTTTTACTTACAAGTTGAAATACTTCATTATCTTCTTCCACTTTTTTCGTACTAGCAATGAGAACCTCCATTAAATCAATCTTTTTCCCTTCCTTATTTTCCTCATTCCCAGTCACATTGTTGCTTTCCTTTGCTTGCTTAGCTAATAATATCCCACATTTAGAATCCGAATGTCCATAAACTTTACAATGAGAGCATTTTGAAGGATTCCATGCATATTCAATCTTGCATTTAGAGGGAATTCTTTCTCCTATTGTTAAGTCCGAAGAATAGATGAGCACTTCTTTAAGCCACTCCTTAGCTGCTGACATTTCAATTAAGATTCTCATAAAAGCCGGCCTTCCCCAATGTTCTTGGCACATTTTAGCCGTGTGAGCATCAACATCTAAAGGCTTTCCAATTTCCCAAGCTATATGGCTCAATCCTGTCCCATTCCAATACTCCAAGGGCACATAATATATCTTTACCCAAACAGGAATTTTATCATGCTGGTCTTTAACTGAACTAACACATGTCGTCCATCTTCGGATAATGAGAGCACTATCAAATATCATCCAAACTCCCCCTTCCAGCACCGAAAGAAGACCTTGCTCTGAGCTGAATCTAAAAAAGTAAATCCCTTCATCATTTACCATTACCTCTTCCAAGCCATATTTCTTCCACATGTTATGGGCAAACTTATTAACATTGAAAAAGTTAATGTGTTTATCAATAAAATACCCATACAATGTTGTTTTAAATGGGCTGCAACCTTTAAGAATGTCACTTATAGGCATTTCCACAACACCTTTAGGAAGTTCATCATTCTTTTTAAATTTTGAAATAAGATTTGCTGCATTCATTTTCTTTCCACTCACTTTTTCAGCATATGAGACTTTTCCTTCAATTTTTTCTTCCACCAAATTTTGCACAGGAATAATCTTCTCCTCTTTACCCTTTACATTACTAGCCTTCACTTCTTCCAGCATATCTTCAGTTATAAGAAGCCCGCCATTTGTATTATAACCTGTTGTTCTAATATCTTCCTTATCATCTATGTTCATTTGGCCTTCACTTTCCTCCTCCTCAGTATCAACATACTTGTATTTGAATTCACCCTCACTAGCAAGCTCAAAATGATTAAACTTACTAGGAAAGTGAAATATAATTTCATTACAGACTTGTTCAAGCTGTTGACTGACAATTTCATCAATTTCAAACTTCTTCTTTACCCTCTTCTCCTTAACCTGAGAGCGCATAGAACAAATGTCTTGAATATCGACAATCACAGGCCTATTATTATTCGAGATTGGAACTCCTTCAGAAATGAGATTTAACACAGTTTCACCCACTTTTTGCAATCCATCTGAAGCTTCTAAATCCGATGTCTTCTTCATATCAATAACCGCAGGAAACAAAGAAGCAGAGGTTTAAATGACACTCGGTTCTTCCCTAAGCTAGCTTCCACCTGTTTTTTGATTTTACTCGTGCACAACTTATGAATCACCTTCTCCTTCTTTTTTTGATTGAGTTCTTTCCAATTCATCAGAATATCATTTCTTTGGCTAACAGATGATAGCTTCTTAACATTATCAATAGAATCATCAAAAGAAGAATCAAACTCACCTTCCTTGTTATATTTTTTCTTGATAAACCTTAAGCCATGCACGAATCCTTCCTTCTCGCTCAAAGTAAGCCCGTTCCAAAACACCATCATTGCTTCCTTTTCTCCTGGGATACAAAATTGCGTGATGTCCTTTTCAAATTCGAAAACAGGGGAGCTCGAATCTTCAATTGAAACTTCTTCCTTCTTGATCGTAATGTAATTTACCAACGGAGCCATTAATGGAGCCATAGCATCAACTTCAGAACCTATTGAAGGCTTCGCAATCTCATTCCCGCTATTATCAATTTTATCAGTTGAAGTATCGACTTTAAGCTCCAATGAATTTTTACGATCAATCAAATTAGCTTCAGATTCGAATTTGTTAACAAGTGTTGTGACCGATTTAGCTTTCAATGGAACATTCAATTGATTGGATTCATTATCCAGAACAGATTTGAGCTTATTTTTCAACTTCGCATTTTTTCCTTTTTTTCGCATTATTACATCGGGTTCCAAATCAGGTGGAACACCCTCCATAGATCGATCAAACAGTATCCTTAGATTAAGCAGGAGAAGAGGAACAAATTGATATCAAGATTGTTGCAAACGGTTGCCGGAAAAACAATCGGTGCCGGAAAAACAGTTGGAAAACGAGGGAATCGCCAGAGAAGAGAGAGAAACAAAGAGAGAGAAAGTTGGGTTGGGTTTGGTTTGGGTTTAGGGTTTAGGGTTTAGGGTTTAGGGTTTAGGGTTTAGGGTTTAGGGTTTAGGGTTTGGGGTTTAGGGTTTGGGGTTTAGGGTTTGGGGTTTAGGGTTTAGGGTTTAGGGTTTAGGGTTTAGGGTTTGGGGTTTGGGGTTTAAGGTTTAGGGTTTAGGGTTTAGGGTTTGGGGTTTGGGGTTTAGGGTTTAGGGTTTAGGGTTTAGGGTTTAGGGTTTAGGGTTTAGGGTTTAGGGTTTAGGGTTTTAGGGTTTAGGGTTTAGGTTTTAGGGTTTAGGGTTTAGGGTTTTAGGGTTTAGGGTTTAGGGTTTTAGGGTTTAGGGTTTTTTTTATTTTGGATAAAAGGGGAAGACCCCTTGGCAAATTTTATTGAAAAGAAAAAAAACAATACAAGGGAAGAGGGCAACCGCCCAAAAAAACCTAACTACAAACCTAACAACAAAGCTACAAAACAAAAACCTACACTAAAAAAAACACAAGCATCAAACCTTATCTAAACATAGCCAACCGATCCACTTCCATGTCCAACTCCAACATAAGGAGTGAAACCAAATATAACTAACAAAGAAATACACAATAAAATCAAAACCAACAACCTTCCAACTCACGAATTCTTCAAAATCTGCAATCTTCATATAGCTTCCAATCTTCCACCAATTCAAACCCCAAAAGATGGCCTCATACTCAACCAAATAGTCCAAGGTTTGAATAATGTTAGTCTTCCAATGCTTCCAAGGAACATCCAACTCAAGAGAATCATTGGCCAATTCATTCAAAACTTCAATAGTTTGCACATATCTCCACACGAAACTAAAACCGATAATAGCAATTAACTTTGAACTTTGAACTATATTCTTCATGTAATTCTTCCCAATCTTTTCCAAAAGATAATTGTTACCCTTCTTTCCAACCTTCACTTTAAAATCCAATAAGCTCCAATAAAGAGTCTTCGAAACCCACGAAAGTATGATGCTAAAACCATTATTTCCAAACAAATCCCACCATTTCCAAATCATCTTCAAATTGCCTTCAACTTCTTTCTTGTCCATACTAGGCCAATTACTTCTCATCAAATCTTCCAATATAATAATCCAAATATTCCGAAAATGCCCTTGGACAAAATCCCATCCTCTATCAAATAAATAGCTCATAAGCGCAATAATACCACAATCCTCAAGATTAAAAAAATCTAGATCACCAACTTTCTTCTTAGGAATCAATCCAAAACAATGAAACCCGTCAATTCCTTTTTTAATGAGAGTATTCCAAAAATACCCCTGAAGGTTAATCCTTAAAAAATTAAGATAAAACCTCCAAATTCCACATCAAAGACTAAAAAGCCAATGATAACGGGATGGACCGATTTGCATTAAAAATTTTGGTAAAACCAAAGGGATTTTAAGGTCCCAAAAGTGGTTGTTTTTATGAGAACAAGGGAAACAACCAACCCAATTGTGGTACAGTCTAAGGTTAACGTACCCAATCCAGTGTATTGACGGGTAAATATCCCACCACTTGCTAATCGAACTAGCAGTGGCACCCACTAAAGTGGAGATTCCTAGTTGCCTAGGAAGAAATTTCCAACTAACGGGGATCAAACCCATTTGCTTTAAAGAATTGACCACTTCAAAGGAAAAAGTTCCAATGAATTCTGGGATAAACCAGACAGCAATGAGCAAAAAAGGATCCATAAGGCTCCAAATGTGGTTGTTTTTATGGTTACAAAGGAAACAACCAACCTGTGAGTGGTACAGTCTAAGGTTAACGTACCCAATCCCGTGTATTGCCGGGTGAATATCCCACCACTTGCTAATCGAACTAGCAGTGGCACCCACATAAGTGGAGAATCCTAGTTGCCTAGGATAAGAACACCAACTGATGGGGATCAAACCCAAATGCAATAAGAAATAATCCACTTCAAAGGACAAAAATCCAATGAAATCCGGGATACACCGGATAGCAGTAGCCTTACACTTATGCCAGGAAATCATAAAGTGGTTGTTTTTATGGTTACAAGGGAAACAACCAACCCATTTGTGGTACAGTTTAAGGAGAACGTACCCAATCCCTGGTATTAACGGGTAATTATCCCACCACTTGCTAATCGAACTAGCAGTGGCACCCACCAAAGTGGAGACTCCAAGTTGCCAAGGAGAAAAACAACTTATAATGGGGATAAAACCCACTTGCATAATGAAAACCACTTCTAAAGGAATAATCCTCAAGAATATCGGGATAAAACCGATAAGCAACACAATTTTTAAAGGAAAATTGTTAAACCTGAAACCGTCAATTCCTTTAATCATCAAAATGATCTTGATTTTTCTCTCCCACAGGAACACCCCACTTCTTTTTAACAATATTATCAAACCCCAAGAAATCCCCTTTAAGGCCAATAAGCTTCAAACGAATTTCTTCAAAAATTTCCAGCATAACTTTCGTCTCTTCCGATTTGCCTTTCCTAAAAAGCCTTCAGTTTCTTTCTCTCCAGATATAATATACTGAGGCAGCAAAAGCAATTTTCCTGATGAAAACAAGAATGCTATTTCCTTTAAACTTTTCTTGAAGTTCTTCAATTAATTCTTTCCAGCCATGCGAATCACTTGTAATTCCAGCTTTGTCTTTCACAGCTTTCCAGATACACTTAGAGAACGCACATTCAAAAAACAAGTGAGAATGCGAATCAGGCTGCTTATTACACAAAACACAATGAATACTTTTATTTTTGTCCCAGAATCTCATTCTGTCTTGTGTCATGAGCCTTTCCTGAACAGCAAGCCAAAGAATAAAGCTATGTCTTGGAATTCGATGTTTGAACCAAATCAAATGAACCCATGAAACTTCATCTCCTACATTCGAAAGATCATCACAGACTTTTTTAATGCTGAAATCAATTATTTTTCCAGAATTACCCCTCCACATAACTTTATCAGGACGAGAAGGAGTAAGCGAAGGAAGCTGGAAATTCGTTAATTGAGGGATAAGATCACACCAATTATTCGGCCAAAACCAAGAATCATCAACAATAACATCTCTAACCTTATCCGAAATATTAAACCCTGCTTGCAAAATTTCCCTATGAGAAATCACATAAGATAAAGGTCCCAATGGATGCCAATCATCAAACCATATAAACGTGGAAGCACCATCTCCTATCTTGTTACAAAAATGATTTCTAACCTCATCTTTTAGCTTAATAAGATTCCGCCAACTCCAACTCAGCCCATTTTTTTTCTCTATATCCCAAAAGCTTCTCCCTTTTAAAAGATTAATCTTGACCCACTTAACCCATAAAGAATCAAAGTCATCAAGAATCATCCAAATTCGTTTTGAAAGAATAGCTTTATTCCACGTTCTCAAGCTTCTAAGACCCAAACCTCCATTCACCACCGGCTTACAAATAGCAGACCAGGCCACTTTAGTTCTTCCTCTTTTCGATTCATCATGATTCCATAAAAAATTCTTCATCATTTTTTCAATGTCTTTTATGATGCTAATAGGAATCAGCATGCTGGAAGCCCAAAACACAGGCAGAGAAAAAAGAACCGAAGAAATAAGTTGTAATCTTCCAGCATAAGATAAGAACTTATTTCTCCAATCACCAATTCTTTTCCTAACCTTGTCAACCAACCTGTTACAGTCCCTTATAAACAGTCTGGTGGATATCAACGGAAGACCCAAATAGCGCACAGGTAATTTCCCTTCCACAAACGTCAAGGAATCAAGAATTTTCTTTTTAGCATTAGGCTTGACATTCCCGAAAAAATATGACTTTTTGCTAGATTGGGAATAAGCCCAGCCACTCCAGCAAATTCATCAAGTGCCTCTTTGATCACCCTAACCGAAGCAAAGTTTCCATGACAGAATATCATCAGGTCGTCCGCAAAACAAAGATGAGTGAGCTTTTGCTTCTTACAACTCCAGTGATACTTGAACAAATTCTCATTAAGGATCTTCCTTTGGAGAATAAGATTGAAGGTTTCCATAACAAGTGTGAACAGGTACGGAGACAACGGACATCCTTGCCTTAGACCACGTTTACCTTCAAAATACCCATGGAAAGTGCCATTTATACTTATCATGAACGAAGGAGAAGTCACACAACTCATTATCCATTTGATCATGACAGGATGAAATCCAAAAAAGAAAAGGATATCTTGAAGAAAAGCCCAATTTACCGTATCATAAGCTTTTTGAATATCCACTTTCATGGCACAACGAGAAAATCCACGATTACGGTGATACCCACGAACTAACTCTTGAGATAACAAAATGTTATCAGTGATTGATCTGCCCGGAATGAAAGCCGATTGGTTATTGGAAACAATGAAACTCAAGTAATTTCTAATACGTCCAACAATTATCTTGCTTATGCATTTGTATATGACCGAACAGCAAGATATCGGCCTATAATCACTGACTTTCCCAGGTGTGTCAGTCTTCGGAACTAAAGCTATCACTGTAGCATTGACTTCTTTAAGTAATTTCCCAGTGCAGAAAAATTCCTTAACAGCTTGGCAGAAATCCTTTCCGATTATATCCCACATAGCTTTAAAAAACTTGGCAGAAAAACCATCAGGCCCCGGCGCCTTGTCATCATCAATATCAAATAAAGCGCTCTTTATTTCCTCATCAGTAACCACTTTGACCATTTCATTAGCATGCACCAGATCAAGCTTCTTTAAAAACAACGATTGGGGATTGTCGATTCCAGCACAATTAATTTCAGTCCCCAAAAACTCACTGAAATATTTGATGAAAACATTAGGAACAGCATCCCCTTCAATCCAATTCCCTTCTTCATTCAAAACAGCTTTAA